GTACAATCCATCAAATGACAAAAAATAGAAAATCATTTACAACCTCCAACCATTTTGGTTTTTAATGAATATTTTGATTCCTCATTTTTTCAAAATTCTCAAGAAATATTTCAACCTTTCTATACATTGAGTTATTAAATTTCCAATTGATCATTTTTTACTCAGAAATCTGATATTTTTTTACCCTTGCTAATGATATATTGGTGTCTAATATTAATAATAATAAAAATAATAGTTTTTGATTGATCATTTAATAAAAATATTGATAGAGTAAAATAAATAGAAATGAAACAGCATAAAATTGATCAAATATGGTTAAAATTTAGCAGGATTTGAGAATTTGAAATGAAATGAAATAAAAGAGATAGATCAAATTGAGCTCTGTCTATCGATTTTAAGCAATTATTTTATATTCCGATGGAATTCAGCTGGTAAAGCAAAAATCGGAAATGGAGTTCTATCAGCTGGTAAAGTAAATATTTAGATGACTATACAGATAGCTGAAATTGAGTTCTATCAACTGGTATAGTAAATATTTAGATGACTATACAGATAGCTGTAATTGAGTTCTATCAGCTGGTAAAGTAAATATTTAGATGACTATACAGATAGCTGAAATTGAGTTCTATCAGCTGGTAAAATAAATATATAGATGACTATACAGATAGCTGAAATTGAGTTCTATCAGCTGGTAAAGTAAATATATAGATGACTATACAGATAGCTGTAATTGGGTTCTATCAGCTGGTAAAGTAAATATTTAGATGGCTATACAGATAGCTGAAATTGAGTTCTATCAGCTGGTAAAGTAAATATTTAGATGGCTATACAGATAGCTGAAATTGAGTTCTATCAGCTGGTAAAGTAAATATATAGATGACTATACAGATAGCTGAAATTGAGTTCTATCAGCTGGTAAAGTAAATATTTAGATGACTATACAGATAGCTGAAATTGAGTTCTATCAGCTGGTATAGTAAATATTTAGATGGCTATATAGATAGCATATATTGAGTTCTATCAGCTGGTAAATTAAATATATAGATAACTATACAGATAGCTGATATTGAGTTCTATCAGCTGGTAAAGTAAATATTTAGATGACTATATAGATAGCTGAAATTGAGTTCTATCAGCTGGTAAATTAAATATATAGATAACTATACAGATAGCTGATATTGAGTTCTATCAGCTGGTAAAGTAAATATTTAGATGACTATATATATAGCTGAAATTGAGTTCTATCAGCTGGTATAGTAAATATTTAGATGACTATACAGATAGCTGTAATTGGGTTCTATCAGCTGTTAAAGTAAATATTTAGATGACTATACAGATAGCTGAAATTGAGTTGTATCAGCTGGTAAAGTAAATATATGGATGACTATACAGATAGCTGAAATTGGGTTCTATCAGCTGGTAAAGTAAATATTTAGAAGATTATTCCAGATAGCTCCTTTCATTTCCTGGACTGGTATGATCTAACAACATCAAAGGGAGACAAATCACAACTTGACAAGTGATCAGAAATAAATCTGCCAATTTAAATCTAAATCTTGGTCTAATCAATGTCATTGGTCAGGAAAGTCAGACAAAATTACACATATTAGTCGTAAAGATGGCGGCCATTTTCTGGCTATCAAAGAAATCTAACCTGAGGCCAGAACGTTAATAAGAATATTGAAATAAGACGGTAAACCGAGCAGACGACAAGAAATATAATCAACATCGCCAGACATTTTAATATATTTTAATCCCGATACCATATTGAGATTAAATTTATTTATTAGACTATTTCAGACATTTGTTTAACGGTTTCTATCAATTTCCAGATTTCAACAAGATTGGGTTGAATATAAAAGGGAAGAAGAGTTGATGAAAATTACTTTGTTAAATCAATGAGAATTTTGAAAGTTAAAGAATGAGAAAAGTTTTGTTCTAATCTCAAAGGAGGGATGCTGAGTTGATGAGAATTATTTTGGCTAACTTGAATAAGATGTGAATTTTTGAGGTTTGTTAATGTTGCTATAAATTCCCAGATTTCAACAAGAAGAAGTCAATTCTGATTCTAACTTTAAAAGATGGAGAGTTGATTACAATTTGTTTTTGGCCGTTTGGATTTTAATTAAAAGCAAGTAGGCCTAAATAAGTTAGAGCCATATTACCACTCAATATTTTGGTGTCTGTGTTATGCTAACTTGTTGACTTTTTGTCAGGGCGGGAGGCTCGTTATTTATGGCGACTGATTTTTTCAGATATACTAATGGTTTATACATCAAGTTTCATTGACAGAAAATATAGAAACAAAAAAACAGTCTTATAAAATCTTCTGTACAAAAAGTTTGAATTTCTTAGAGTCTCAATTATTCTTGTGTAAAAAATTCCATGAAAATGTTACAATGGTTCTGTCATTTTCTTCAGACAATCAAGCTCCATCTACTGAGAAGTTAAAAAAGTTAAAAACTCTTTCAGGATAAAGATTTAAGACAATCATGTAAGAAAATTTTATCAAAAGAAATCGGACGTCTGTGAATAAAAGAAGATCAGATAACTCTATCGTAATTCAATTTTTTGTGGTAAAAATCAAAAAAATATATTAATCATTCTTAATCCAAGGGGAATAATGTGATATTAGGTTATTTCTGTTAAATTAATGTTTTTACAGACTGCCATGACTTGAATTCAACTGGGAGCCGCCCAAGTAAAATATTTAACACAGCCAGTGTTTAGGGATTTCATTATTCGATAAAATAACTAACACAGTTACCATTCAATTTTCAGGAAGACATTTTTAATAACGAGATAAAAGACTTTGAAATTTAAAATATTCCCTTGATATCTTTAGAGTAAAAATACCAAAATAACTTTTAATCTACAGAAACTTTCCAATAGGGATGCCAAGTTGATATAGTAAATGTTTCCAGCTTTCATCGACTTGAAAGTCACGCTAAAATCACAAACCCAAACTCTGCAAAACTTGTCAAGCCAAGAAAATATCAGTTTTCTTAAAAGATAAAATGCTAGAGGATAAAGCCACGCAATCAAATTTCTCAATCGAGAAAGAAAAAATGCTTTTGAAAATGATGGACATCTACAGTCACAATCAACAAGTTTTTCAAAAGAAAGCAATTTACCAGCTGAGCACGATCTTCACAATCCCATCTCTTCAGTATAAAAAGATAAAAAATTCAAACCATGTCAGACGTGTACAGAAATAAAACCTTGAAGGGATACTGTCAACTAATTATTTACTTCACCTTCAGTCGGAATTTTCATATGAATTAAAATATCTTAATCTTAAATTGTATTTGGGTTGATGAAAAATGTTAACCACTGAAAAAATCATTAATGTAAACATGATATTACAGAGGGAAATATTCAGTCTGTAAAGTAAGTCATTTGGGCGAGAATTTTTTGGAGGGTAATGTGGTTATTTCAAAAAATAAAATAACTGAACCTTGTATTTCTATGGACCAGAAGATATTCTAAGACAAATAACATACAATTGAAAATTTTATTTTGAAAATATTTGTGAAATGAGACATTCTAAATTCTAAATTCTATAGACAGAGAGTAGTAGAATCAATATCTGATAAAACAGTGAAAATTAGACAACTAAATCCCTTAATTTATTCATGAGAAGATTGAAGACAACAGTGACAAGTTTTTTGCGGAGATTCAAATTTAGCAGACACGTTCTTTTCGACTTCTTCATTATTCTATTCATTACTGGGAAACACGGTAGACAGAATTTTTTAATGTTTCTTCTACACAACACGCCAAAAAAAAAATTGGAAAGTTGATTCAATCTTTTGTTGATAAAGAGAACTGATTTTTTTTAACTTGAAAAGAATGGCAAAAAAGTTTATTTTTTCTTGACTTGTTTCAGAACATTGGAGCAGAGAAAAAGTGAAGTCTTTTTAAGAAATAGAAAAAAAAACAGAAATTAATACACGAGACTTGACTGTTTAACAAAAAAACAAAGTCAGATGTTACTGGTAAATACTTGAGGACAGAAAATAACAAGTTTACATATAGAGGGCGCTTAAAACTATCACCATTGTTTCGTAATTCAAATTTTTTTTGGGGAATAAGTTTGACATTTCCTGCGTAAATTTAAAATCAATTAGGAGAAAACACAGTAACTTTTTTGTCTTTTTGAACACAAAAGAAATAACCCCAAAGAATGACTTAGATTTCGTAAAATTCTGAACAATTTTGACATTTCTTAGAAATTTGAGAATCAATTAAGAGAAAAATCAAAGAGACCTGATCGTCATTGTGTTGAATCAAATTGAATCTGAGAAGAGAACGTCAATAGAATAAATTACAAGTCAGTGAGAACAGTATTTAAACAGCTGATTGGTCGAAGACTCAAGAATAATCAAGAGTTTAACTTTGATCTTCAATCTTCGATTTGTTCAACATCAGGCAAGGCAATAGCTCTTGTACTTTTATATTTTCTTTTAAAAGATTTAAATTCAAGTAAAGTTCAATAGGATATTTTGGAGAACACCCTAGAAAGGACTGGCACGTTTGGTTAAATATCATTCCATAATAAACTACAGTATGTAAACTTTTGTATGCGATGTGTATCTGGGTCATCTGCGGCTTCTATTTACATCAGTTGAATTTTCACTCAGGTATCTGTGGTTACTGTCAGTGGCGGAGCCAAAGGGGGGTGGGCACCTGCTCCCCCTCGCAGCCCTGAAAGCAAGTTTTTCAGACAAAAATCTCATAACTAGGTTAGAAATTCGGGCAATCTCAGATATTTGGCCTCCCCTCGGACATAAACCTGGCATCGCTACTGGTTATTGTTATAAAAAATCGCAAGACCATCACTACTAGTTTCTGCAAGATCATGACTGAAAATCAGAATGGTGCAACTAGATTCTATGAGTGTGTGTCTGATACACATTAAAAATTAGAAAACCTCTTTACAATCCCTTAAATGGTCAAACTATCTTTTATAAAGAGATAATTATGAAAATATAACTGACCTGTTTGACACACATCATCAATAAATCCAGTAGCTCGACAATCACAGACAAATCTATTCCAACCCTCTACACAAACTCCTTGATGCATACACGGATAGCTTAAACACTGTGGTTCCATACGCCTACAATATTCAGCTATTCCTTCCGTTAACTGCAGAGCTGCTGCAGCTACAAGATCCATCTTATTACCATTAATCACTAAATCTTGTAAACAACCAACATATCCATGTCCTAACATCCCCGCCCACATTTCTTTAGGTAGCGTTGACGAATCTACATCCTCGTTAATTCCACCCACAAACAACTTTCCACCAAGCTGTAGCAAGTCACTTTCTACTGTAGATGAATACGGTTCTTTAGTACCATCAAGAGTTATATACCCTTGTGGCCCCTGGTAGTCTAAATACACTTCATGTGGTTTACCGTCATTTACGGGAATCTTACTGGCTTTAACTTTAATCGTACCAGAACCGAGATCCACCACTAAATAAAGATGACCGTCTAAAAGCTCGATAGCGAAGAAGTCAGTATATGTCCCTAATCCAGAGTTGTATAAAATAACACCATTGGGCTCGGTGGTTTGAAACTGGAAAGCAATGGAAGCCCGTTTTAGAGTTACATCCCATGACGGGAGAGTAATAAAAGATTTGGGAGTTAAAAATGTGATTGGATGAGATTCAACAAGTTCTTGACATCTATTGAATAAAACTTCACCCACTACACTGATTAAACCATGGCTTGTTTTCGCTAGGTCTGTTAAATCTAGGTTGACACTATCTGCTTGGTACTGCACCTGTAATAAAGTTAATACTGGTAAGAATAACACAAATATTCAGATAATTTGAATAAGCTACATAATAATAATAATAATAATCAGAATGAAAGAGACCAGATATCTGAAGATAAATACTTGTTAACTTTCAGAAAGTGAAACTCAGAGTAACAACATGTTTTAGGTTCTGTTTAAGTATTTCTATATTGCACTACAATTGAAACGATGATAAGATCGGATTGTGGTCCCAGCAAAATTCTCCTCATTTCCGTCATTGCAATGATTTTTATAGTCATATTGGAAGCAGATATATACAACTTATATTTGAGTTTAAATCGTTCAATTTCTGTTACCTTTCTCATGCAGCCTTTGAAGTTGCTTTTGACCCGAGACCCAGGCAGTAAAACTGTGTTAGGACTTCCGGCCACGTATAAGATACTGCTAGACAGCATGGTAAACTCTCCTGTCGTACTTCCAGACTTTCGGTGTACTCCGTCAACAGACATAGTGATCTAAACAAATACAAAAATAAACACATTTTATCCATGTACATATCAGGAATTGAAATTTTTGGGGGTGAAAAGTTTGAAATTTTAAATTTTTTATCTAATAATTGTTAAAATTAAATTTATTTGAAAATGTGAAGCAGCTACCATGCTTGTGATTTGAATTCTAAAAAATAATAATTTTTATTTGAAAAATCTAAAATATGCAACAATGAAAGTACAACAGAAGGCAACTACAAAGCATAATAAAAACATGCACAAAATATTCCGAAAAACACGAGTATATTAATACAAAAAACGCAACGGTAAAAATTTAACAATATCTGACACGGCTGAAAATGAAGGATATTAAGAAATAACCATCAGTTTACGAGGATTCTGTCTACCAACTGATCCTTGATCAAACCTCTTGACATTGATCTTCTCGGATTATCTGTATCCATTAACAGCTGGATGAATGTTGTTTGAAGGAAGTCAAGAAATGTCATAAATAGATTCCAATGCTCTGACTGACAGAACTAAGGTTTTGACCAAGGACCAACTGGAAGACAGAATCCTGCAGAACCGAAAGGGTGGTTCTTGTAGATTATCATACATGTTTTCTGCAATTTTGTCAACATCCTCAACTACAGGACACATCTAATTAAATGCCTTTTAAATCTTACTAATATTCATGGACAGTCAAAACTTAATTGAAAAGTTAATTAGAATAATTCACAAATCAGATGACTGGAACAATAAAATCATCTTCTAGACAATTACTTCAAACAATGAACACATCCCCTATACTTTACATATAATCTTCTTCTGGAATACATTCTGACTTTAAGTTCATAGAAAAATACAGCAATTAAAAGTTCATTAAATGATCAGACAGACAAGGATAAGGAAAGGTTTTTGTACAAACAGAAGGAAATATCGTAAAAGGCATGAACAAAACATTGGAAAAAAGTTTTCCACAAGGAAAAAATGGACTTAAAATATGGAAAAAAGGTAAAGAAGTTAGAAGAATCAGAAATTAATACAAATCATGTTTTTTTTTCTTTCTACTTGAAAACAGGGCTGTTGATATGAATAATCTTGCCAGTCAAGAGTTTTATACTGATGCTCTGGATCTATTTGCCAATCATGTCTGATTCCAGCTCCAAAATGCTTAAGAATTTGATTTGGACGAATAAAAGCACCAGGTTATTTGCATTGTGAACTTAATGTCTCCAAAAGAGATGACAAAAGAAAAGTGGATCCATAGATCAATGCCGAATATTCCAGATTTTTAATCAAGGTCAAAGGTCAATGATTCGCAGCCCCGTTTTCGTAGATATTTATAGGCAATCAAAGATACTTGTACACATTATTCATAAACACGATCAGTCCACTTTATTTTGTATGTAGAATATATAGTAATAGAAACTATTAAAACAGTAATTTATTGTGTTGATTACTACTTACACTACCTATCAAAATAATGAACTGGTCAGATTTTAATGTGCATGAATATCTTTTCCGCAAAATCAAAGAATTTGTTGGAAACAGAGAGATAAACAAAGAAATTCAGCATGGGGTAAATTTCAACTGAATCACTACAATTTCATTAACAATGGTCAAACAGAATAATAAACCAGTTCACAGGATTTTAACTGAAAAAAAAACTCTACAGTTGTACAAGATCTAGGAGGTGCATGCCCCTTAACGTGCCAACATTTAGGAGATACATGCCCCTTAATGTGTTAACAATCAGGAGGTTCATGCCCCTTAATGTGTTAACAATCAGGAGGTGCATGCCCTTAATGTGTTAACAATCAGGAGGTGCATGCCTCTTAATGTGTTAGCAATCAGGAGGTGCATGCCCCTTAATGTGTTAACAATCAGGAGGTGCATGCCCCTTCAACATGCCAACAATTAGGAGATGCATGCCCCTTAAGGTGCCAACAATCAGGAGATGCATGCCCCTTTACGACCCAACAAATGGGAGATGCATGCCCCTTAACGTGCCAACAATTAGGAGATGCATGCCCCTTAACGTGCCAACAATCAGGAGATGCATGCCCCTTAACGTGCCAACAATTACTTACAAAGCAAACACCTTTATCCCTAGTAAGCTGTTCTCGACAAAAATTGAAAATTGTAACAATAAAACTAATTAATTCTGGTGCAATATTCTCTAATTGCAATGTGATTTTAAAATATCTTTCTACAATCAGGGCTTGTGTTTTAACGACTTCGAAATTTTACAATTTCTTACATGTTCCAATTTCTTTTGTAAGATTTCAACTTTTTTTTTATGATAAAAGTTTTTATCAAGTGAAAAAGGGGAATGTTCCATTGTACTTGTACAATATGAATTTATAAATACCAGATATAGTATTGGACTTTGCACATCCAACCAAATCAAAACAATTTTTAAAGTGGCCATTAAATTCTAAACAGAAGCCCTGATCTGCACACATCTATCTGTAAATATCAACTTTTATAAATACTAGTCACAACTGATCTCTGCCACAATGAGAAAAAAACACTCAATAGTTAGTTAATCTAGTCATGCATACAGAGTGAATCGAGCTACTTTACCACAAAAATGTGGCGTGGTGTTCTCAGAAGAATCAGCATTTGCTGCTGAATAGTCAGGTCATGTGACTGAATAGCGAAAAATCATGCTGAAAAAACTTAAAACTGTGCAAAAGTGATTGGAAATTGTTGAATTGTTGAACTCTTATTCAAAAAATCTAGCGTAAAGTACAAAAAAATTTGCTCCAATTCTTACCTCCCTTGCTTCTCGTTTGATGAGCAAGTGGTGCCACCTATTGTCATCGAAGCGTACATGACTAGGACGGACTTCTGTTTCATACGCTCCTGATCCGAGGTTTATCGTTAAAATAATTCCTCCATCTTTCATAGCAACGTTTAAATAATCTGTAGAATCACCTGATGGAGAACACAAAATAATTTGCTTCTTGGAAAGAGCACAAAATAATTTGCTAGTTGGGGGACAGGGTCATTGATACAGTAGATTATAATAGAAGAGGTTCTGTACCTTGTTTCTTCTATTATATACTCAACATTTTTACAACTGAATTTTTTTGCTTATTTGCACCTTTTACTGTTTCAAAATCACAAAATAATTGGCTAGTATAAGAAAGTTCACAAGAAGTTTCAAGTATTAAAATATAATCTCTAATTTACTTCATGTAATTATTAATCTTAAGGTACTATATCTTCCTATAAATAGATGTATCATGGTAGCTCTTTTGAAATTGTCATAGAAAAATGTATTGGAATTGAAAACCTAAAGGTCTCAAGACATCCTATATTGAACTCAAATCTTCAAAATACAGCTGTTCAAAGACAGCTCATTTAAAAGTGGGAAATTTGAAAACCTAAAGTTCCTTCATTTCAACCTATGTCAACCTATATTGAGCTCAAATACTCCCAAAATATATTTTAGTCACATCAGCTCTGCTGAAATTATCAAAGAAAATGAGAGTTAACTTACCAGTAAAGAATAAAAGGCCATTAGATTGTTTTGTACGGAAATCAAGTGAGATCTGATCATTATTACTAACTATAGGATCTCCTCGACTTGATAAATCATAACTAAAATATTGAGCTCCTAAAAACGTAGCATCTGATGGTATTTTTTCTGAAAAATATAAAAAACAGAAATATTAAGTTTATATTTAAAAATGTTTCTTAGAAACAATAAATTCTAAAGATGAACAAGAAAAATATGCCCATTATAACTGCAAGTTTTACAACAAAGTCATGAATTTTATATATTAATATTGCCATGTTACAATAGAACTGTTTGAGATGTTGAAATACAAAGCCAAAAACATTTTTTACTCATCAAAATCTCAACTGAGAGAAGACATCAAACCTCCTTCTAGAATATTACAATTCTATGTCCAAAACCCGGAAGAGATTGCCCCAATTTCTAATGGAAATACTAAAAATGGCCTATTTTTATGAAAAACAATTTCAATGATATTTTTTTATTTCTTAGGCTAGTTTCCAGAAAAATCTTATAATAATTCTTCATAAAGTTTTAACACCAGTTATTCATGACAACCATAGAAAACAAGAGTCCTGATATCTTAAAAAAAAGTCAAGTCTCAGTAAAAATAGTAGTACTTATCGTTTTTCAAGGATATTTTTTGTTTTGGACTATTTTAATATACTACATTAAGAAAAAAAAACCTGGTATCTTTAACAATACTAAAAAGTTAAGTCTTATGTAAAAATCAATTGTTGAAGTGATTAGCCTTTTTCTTGCATGTTAATTGTTAGTTCTATGTTGAATTATTTATATTTACTTGTAACAGACTAAATCAATAGTAGTTATATACTAGTGTTTTTACAGTATTGATTATAATTATTGATTTTTAATTAATTATAGATTGCTGATAAATACTGTATAATTGCAAGTATAACGCTCATATTTTCTGACTCATGAGTAGAATTGTATCCTCAAAATGTAATTTTCATTTACATTTTTCCTTTTCAGTAAATATAGAATATCCTAAAACTCTCTAGATAAGCAAACATGCTTAATATTTTAAAATTATCCTACTACTGCACAGAGGCTCTGGTTGAACCAAGTCCACGGGTTCCAACATCCTCTTAGAGGGATACCACCAGAAAAAATGTAGGGGAGCATGTAATATATAAAAATCCTGGGAGGGGCCCCAACCCAAGTAAGTCCCTCACTTATCTTGTTGAGTCCCTACTGTTGTAGCTTTCTGTATACATAACACATGTATGTTTATTGTTTCTGACAAGTCTAGCTGTAAGCTGTAACTGTATTTAAAACTTTCTAAAACAAACTAATTGTTATTGATTTTACATATAATCAGGTGAAATCTGAAGAGTTGAAAGGAAGGGGAGATAAGTGATTAATTGTTAATGAGACTTGACAATAATCAGTTTCCATCAACATCACTGGTTAAAGCTACATATCATAGAATAAAATCTGCTTCTATACTTGAGATAAACGAGGTTGTAACATTGCAATTAAAAAATGCCACAAAAGCACAGACACAGGATGTATAAACCTATACTTTTTTTAAATATTAAGAAAACTGTGTGTTGTTAAGTAAAACCATCAAATCTTTAATATTGGCACCTGTAGATAATCTGAATTAAGGGTAAATCAAAGGTGTATCAATATCACTAATTAAAGCTGCAAATCTGCTTCCATATTTGAAGATAAAAGGGTGTGTTTTAGGGGTCTTAGTAAACTCTGAAGAACTGTCACAAAAATAATATAAAGCAGACTAAAGATCCTATTATGAAAACTTTACTTGAAAATGCCAGTTAAAATTTAGAATGCTGTCTGTCTTGTGATGTTGCTAGAGAATTAATGGAACACGAATTTCACCAAGACTACCTCCATAAAGTTGTGGGATTGAATATGGTTGTTTCAGGTGACGACTACAGTGAACCTCCTTTGAGAAGTTTTGGATGCAAACCTTGCTTTAGATCATATTACTTTCCTATCCTATAATTATTGATTATTAATTAATTATAGATTGGTGATTGGTGACTGTATAGTTGTGAATATATATAAGGTAATGGATGCAAACCTTGCTTTAGATTGTACTTTCCTATCCTATCTTGCTTTCTTCCAACTCATTGGACCAGTTATGATGCACAACACCATGCAGTATGCAATGGGGAGGAATTGAAGCCAGTTGCTTAAATTTGTTTGGATTCAAAATCTCTTTATATTAGGATTAAGATTTAAATCCTTTTTGAACTACACACTAATGACAGACAAGACCATGCAGTGAGCAATGGGGAAGAATTTAAAAGCCAGGTGAATAATTCAATTTCCCACTGTGTTGGTATTAAGAATAGAGAGAGAGAAGTAGGTATATAATAGATGAATGATGGCTAGACTTGATAATATCCCAACATAAATAAACTCATTCTCTCACTCTCTTTTACTGTTAGTCTCGCTCTCTCTTACTGTTAGTCTCACTCCCTCTTACTGTTAGTCTCACTCTCTCTTACTGTTAGTCTCAATCCCTTTTACTGTTGGTCTCAATCTCTCTTACTGTTAGTCTCGCTCTCTCTTACTGTTAGTCTCACTCCCTCTTACTGTTAGTCTCGCTCTCTCTTACTGTTAGTCTCACTCTCTCTTACTGTTAGTCTCAATCCCTCTTACTGTTAGTCTCAATCCCTCTTACTGTTAGTCTCTCTTACTGTTAGTCTCAATCCCTCTTACTGTTAGTCTCGCTCTCTCTTACTGTTAGTCTCGCTCTCTCTTACTGTTAGTCTCACTCTCTCTTACTGTTAGTCTCACTCTCTCTTACTGTTAGTCTCAATCCCTCTTACTGTTAGTCTCACTCCCTCTTACTGTTAGTCTCGCTCTCTCTTACTGTTAGTCTCGCTCTCTCTAACTGTTAGTCTCACTCTCTCTTACTGTTAGTCTCACTCTCTCTTACTGTTAGTCTCACTCTCTCTTACTGTTAGTCTCACTCTCTCTTACTGTTAGTCTCACATCTTGTCTTTGTATAAGGTATTTTGTCGGTAGTAATTATTCCCAATCATCCATACTTTACATAACATATTTAGTTCAAAGGATACCTACTACCTGCTTGCTCTCCCCGAAAATCTTGGCAATGATTCTTCACTGGACAATATATCAACAGCTTGTATTGTACAGTCTGTGAATGTTTAAAGATCTTTCGATCAATAGAATAACGCTGCTGTACGGGTAAATTTCTCTCGTTAGTCCAAGGTGCGGAAAAGTAGGACATAAAAGGCCATTCACGAGTCAATAGGAGTCTAGATGACAGAGACTACCAGACAACTAAGATAGATAACTGATATTAAAGTCTATTTTATTGTTTGGCCGACTGTCTAATCACATAATCAATAAACAAAACAACGTATCTACTGACTGAAAGTTGTAAATAGAAATAGTAAATGGACATTAAAGAAATTGTTTACTATAAATGTTTACACCCACTGCTGACAGAAAGGCATTAATTTTATTTTTAAAATGGGTAGAATCAGCCTCAATTTAATTTCCAGGAATGGTTGTAAGCCCAATTTATCTGTCTACTTTTACTAGAAACAGTGGGTGGAAGAGATCCTTCAGCATTAATTCTATTTTCCAGTGCAGTGGAGGCATATCTAAAACAAAACAAGAGATGTAAGGGACCATTGAATTTATTACCGGAACTTTTTGGAAGCGCAGGCAGCAAAGTGTTTCGTGCTTCTTATCCAGAAGAGAAATGAATCTGCAATCCATTTCCGGAAATTTCTATAAGTCTTACATCTCTGCTACAATTACAACTCAAGAGTACAGTAGGTGGAAGAGATCCATCAGCATTCATTCTATTTTCCAGTGCAGTGGAGATATGCTCTATCTGTCTCTATTCTGTCTGTCTGCAGCATCAATAAAATATAAATATATAAAACTGAAACTAAAACTTGGAAAAAGAAGTTGATGGATTAAGCCTTGGAAAATAAAATGAATGGAGTTTTACATCCTACTTTTCTGCACCATGTGGATGGGCTGATGAAGATTGAATTAAGTCTTAGAGAAGAGACCTTTAAAATGTTAGACATCAGTTTCTACTATTCTCCAAGAGATGAAACATTCTTGTCTAAAGCTGATTAACAGACTGTCATCTTGCATGATGTTCTTTCCAAACTCGGTCAAAAAATTGCAAAATAATGTATTTAATTACAATTTTCTCTAAAAACAAAACCTTCACGTCCAAAACTTAAAGAACAACATTCATAATGAATGGATTAATGATTATAAATGACGCAACATCTCTATTTCATCTCTTACAGACGAGACATCTTTCAGGGGAGATAATTCATTAACTAACGAACACAGCCACAGAAATTCTTAACTAATGCATCATAATTTCTGAAAACCTGTTGGCCATTAATCAATTCCCCTGAATGCTGGGTAATTTACAGATTGTGAGGCTTTAAGTCGTAAAGAAACATGAATCATGAGTTCAAATCTCCCAAGATTTTCTCTTGTTTTATCTCCTTCTTTGATGATTCACTTTTTAAAATATTGCAGATAATCAGAAACGAATTGTGACCTTTGGTTATGAACTTTGACCTCTAAACGACATTATCATTGCGGTTGAGAGGATATCATGGAATATTAATGAACTGCGGAACTAATAAAGATATTCCTAGTTGATTAGAAATAGAGAAATGAAATGGAGCGTGGTTAATTCTGATTATCACCCAGAAGAAACCAAGCAAGAAGAAAATTACCAGGAATTATCACCTAGAAAACTTGGTATCCTGCAGCATCAGAATTTAATTAATATCAATTCTAGATCACCAGAGATATTTGTGGAGTTTTCATGATAGTGGATGGAAGCTGACACTGGGCTGATCATTGAGGGACAGAAGGCATCAGAATCATTGAGGGACAGAAGGCATCAGAATCATTGAGGGACAGAAGGCATCAGAATCATTGAGGGACAGAAGGCATCAGAATCATTTTAAATCGGGAATGATTCAAAATCATCAAATCTAATCATCTAGCACAGTGCTTCTCAACTGTGGTGAATAAGACTTTGGCAGGGGTGAAATAAGTCAGAGGGGTGATTAAAAAAAACTGAGCATTTCCCCTGCACAT